GCCAGACACTACGCGTGCGTTCAGGGCGCATGGTGATAGTGTGGCAAGGGTCGGAATATGGTCTGCGCAGGGTACGAGCTGAGTCGCCAATGAGAAGCCCAAACTACCATCGCATTTAAAATGTCAAGAGCCGGACCATGCCACGTATGGCAGGTGGCATAGAACCAATGGCACCGCGGTATTTGGGTTTCGAATAGCGTTTGCCCCCAAACGTGGTCTCCAAGGAAAAGTGACGTGACATGGGAGTTGATAGGCGCAGGCTCGTATTTCCACGGTGCACGGTGGAGACTTTGGAGCCCCATACCAGCGGTCCACTCGACCAGACCCCCAATCATGTCAGAATGCTGCCCTAAACCCCGTCTTCCAGAAGGGGCCTCGAAATCACCAAGGTTAGGGCCTCCTTGCCATCCCCCCGGCTGACGTAGCCGCATTGTCACTGGTAGTTACCATGATACGCATGCTTTTTTATCGAAATTAACTTTGCCTGCGCCGTGGGCGGTTTCGAACCAGTCTCTGTAGGTTGCAGCGTACGCCGTATACCGACGATGCTATACGACCAGGATTCGGTTTCCACTTCTTGGCTGAGATTTAATCCCCGGTGCTCCGACAGTTATCATATGTAACCTGACGTGCACCCATCTGGGGAACAACTCTCCAGGGTGCTGAGAAACCCGGTTTAGCGATGCAGAGAAACCATGTCCCAGTTCACAGTTGAGTCGTGGATTTGGTATGGGGTCACGGTATTCGTGATAATTCTGCGATTGTGAGTGTCTTCAGGCCTGATGCCTATCAATCTTCCAAATACTTACATGTCCACTCTCCAGCATATCGCGACTGCTCTTGGTCAAAAGTGTGAAGAGCCTGCAGGTGGAGGACTATCTGATGCTCCTAGTCTTGGTATGTCGCCACCGATCAAGATACACATAGACCGACCTTTTCTTACACGTCTTTCTACAGGGCTTCTACACAGGGCTGGTGGTTACATTGAATCGGATCGAACATGCGCAAACGAATTTAATGAAACCGGGCGAGGAAGCGCATTTAACACCAGAGTCGATCAAGAACCGCGTTTATGGTAGCAAACTGGTGCTGGCAACTGAACAATGCATGCTAGCGACAATTTGGGGATGCAAAGGCTGTCTTCTTCTCCTCTACGCCAGGTTGACGTGAGTTTCACTGTCCGTGGGTATCGAACACTGCGCTGAGAAAGTGATAGGGAAGGGATTAAGCAACAACTGGCCGTCAAGATCCTAGCTGGCTATGTGGTTGGCTCATACATTCTCTTGGAGATCCTCTACTTCGCGGTTTGGTGTCGGCCATTCCACAACTACTGGGCTGTGCCCACACCCAACGGTATGTGGTCGCTTTTCTCTGAAAGGCCCTGTCGCTGACTAGTACTCCCAGCGCAATGTTCGACCGCGACACATCACCTCATTATGACAATGGTCTTCAATATCTCCTCAGACATTCTTATGATGTGCATTCCGCTGCCGCTCCTCATATCGGCCCGGTTGCCACTGCGCAGGTACGTTCCAAACGACGTAGGCTTCGTGCAGAATTTAACAGCAGGATTGTAGTAAAATCACTCTAGTGGGTGTATTCAGCATGGGAGCCTTCATTGTAAGACCGGCAGTCTTTCCAGCCCCACCGATCGCGACTAATGACCCTTAGATCCTATGCGCCACTCTCAGCAAAGTCTCCAGCTTCAAAGATCCCTTCAGCCCCCAATGGCTCTTCTGGTACGTCCGCGAGGCCAGCACCGCCGTCTGCGTCGCCAACATCCCCAACTGTTGGAGTCTGGTCCGCCGCGTCTTCAACCTCAGTTCCTGGACCGGCAGTTCGCACAGCAAAGGCAGGACCCACCACTACACCCCCTACGGATATGGAACGGGAACGCATAGTAGGACGAGACGACACACAGCGTCACAGAAAAAGAGCCTCTGGACATCCGTCAGCATGTCTGGCGTACGGAAAACGGAGAGCGTGGAAGAGATTATGAAGGACCCCGAGCAACAATCCCACCAAGGAATCCCACTCGAAATCTGGCATCAAACCAGCATCCACGTCACGGCAGAACTGCCCAGGCCCGATGATCCCCAGAAGGGCGCTGCTGTAACATTTCCAGGTCGGAGATAGACCCCGGGCCTTGCGGCTGAATTAATGATAGACAATCAAAATAAACAGGTAATAATAATATCGCCGATAGAGCAACCTAACTACTGAAGCCCCGTAGTTGGATCAATAGAAGTGAGCTAATCAGAGGCCACCATTCAAAACCCCTTGAACTATCTATTCAAGGAAGCTTGCTCAAAAATGAAAGGTTAGCTGCGGTCGTGTACTCGGCGTAGCTTCGTATACGAGTAGGTTTAGTAATAATTTTCCGAAATACCCCCGAGGTAGCGTGTCGACCAATTTCCATGACGCCAGAGCAAGTGATCCTTTGGTAGATGGGCTATCCAGCATTCTTCGAGCCTCAGCCCTCCCTTCACATGCCCTGGAATGCCGAGGAAAGTCCTTAATCCACGACAAGGAACTCCATCAGACCAGCGCCGACCACGACTTGTTTCTGAAGCCATGACTATCTTATGAGTCCCTTCCTTGCCAGGCTACTCTGTGGGGTCTGAATGAAACTTCGATCGTCTCGCTATACCAGTTTGGAAAGAGGTGGCAGGCAGTGCTGCGCCCAGTGTGACGGGGAGATCTGCGCTTTCATTCCCGAGTTCAACATGAGACCCACCAGGCCTCCACCAACACCGACGATCGGATAATCGACTGCGGCAGGAAAGTTCAGGATATGAACGTGGCCGAGCCGCGGAGCATGGGGGCTCATGCACCCGGAAGTCTATTGATGTCTCAGGAAGGTGCGCACACTGCATAGTTGTGTATAGGATCCCTACCACAGGATGTTTTACTTTGCAGCAAACCTAATACTGTACATAGACACTACCCTTGACGCCTTTATATACCGCTTTTGTCAAACGTCGCCGGCTTGGCACGGTCTCCCAATCTCGGTTGATGGATGTCTCGGCTTGTCGCCTTGCCCGCACGGCACTATATCTGAGTTAAAGTCATGACGCCAAGTACTATTCGAACACCGAATCATACAAGCATTGGAGGTTGAAGCGTTCCTGCAGGATTTTGCCACGCGTGAGAGTTTATGATGAACATGTCTTACACCGTCTCCTGGGGTGTGTGCCTTGAACACGACCAATCATCAAGTACTCTCCAGTTCTCAGTCTTCAGATAAAAAAGACAAGGATATGAAAATCCTTAGTCATGTCGCCTTCTTCTCAGTCTATTCCGTGATTCAGGGCACGCGATATGTGCTCGTAATATACTTTCCCACTTTGGCCTGGGCCGTGTTTAACCTTCTGAGATCAACCCAAAAGGCTGGCCGAGCCCTAACACCAACGCACTGGCGCGTAAAGCTAAGCCGGGCCGGTCTTGACCTCCAACTGATAGGCTTTATTAAGGTTTGAGGCCAAATAACAGGGGAGCTTCTTATGGAACGGCTCCGCGACCGATTCAGTCTTCTAGAGCCATGGGTCGACAGACCAGTCTCCGCGTGGCACTTAAAGGTCTTATCTTTTTATATTATGTATCGAGTGAACAGCTTATTTGGCCTAGCCCCAATGAAAAATGCACATGTTGGACTGGGCAAATAGGTCGGTATATATGAGCAACATCTGAGACACCGGAGATCCTACGGATTCGAGGTGAACTTGGCATTATGTACCCTTTTGCTAGGGAACTCGCTATTGAGTCCTGGATCTTATATGCAGTCGGTAAGCTATCGTCCATCGGCAGCAGCGCCCGTTACGATCATTAACGTCAAGGTGATATAGGGATTGTAGTTATCGGATGTCGGCTGTTCGTTCCCACTTACATTGACTACAATGGAGAGAAGTACTTACCAGAGATAGAGTTTCTCGACGCATACGGTTAAAGTCATGGAGCAAACTACAAATCGATGATGCGCTTATGTGTGCAATTGCGGTACGTGCATGGTTGAACGGCGGCAGGAGATGCATTGGAATTGACAGAACCGCATAGCTCACCTTCACGGGGGTCACTGTTACAGCGAATATCACAGCTCGGGTTAGCAGTGATCCCATTGTTCATGAAGAGCAGCCTACGCCACATGCAGAAGCGCTAATGGTTTGGGGGAACAAAGCGATCTTCATGCTGGAACAGTTCGCTCTGGTTACAATATGGCTAGTCAAGGGCTGCCTTCTCATCATCTACAACCGTCTAACGTACGCCAATGTCCGGAGCTTTTGCGCGCTGGAAGGCTAATGCACTTCATTGGTAGGCTTATGATGAAGGAGCATTTAGCTGTGAAAATCGTTGCGGTCTATGTAGTGATCTCTTTTATTGTCATCGAGGTCCTCTTCTTAGGAGTCTGGTGCAGACCGATCACTCATTACTGTATGTCATTTGTTATACCATGGCTCAGAACACCGCTAATGGGTTACAGGGGATCTTGAATCTAATGACTGTATGATACGATTGATGTAGAAACTCGATACGGGAGCTGACAACTAGATAATCTTATAGTCCAGTGTGGGACCTACTTGAATCATCTGATCACGACAACCGTTTTCAATATCTCCTCAGATGTGATGATGTTGTGTATCCCATTGCCGCTCTTCATCCGATCACACTTACCTTTCAAGCAGTAAGGACACACCCGACATGTGGGCATGCCCAAGTACATAACTAAGGTCAATCGCAGAAAGGTTGCAGTGTGTGCTGTATTCAGTCTCGGTGGGATCGTTGTCTGTGAATCCAATACGCCCCTACTGAGGTAGATCGCTGACCGGTGTCTAGATACTTATGGCAGCTCTGAATAAGTACTATAATTTCTCCAAACTCACCGACCCTCGGTTCTTGGTTAGTCTGCTCACCGATGTGTATCCCAACGACTTGCTAAACAATGAGACAGAAATGGTATGTCGCGGAGGTAGCTACCGCGGTCTACGTCTCAAATGTGCCACTTCTCTGGCCTCTTCTTCAGCAGGTCTTTCGCTGCCTGCGCTCTACCGTTCGCTCCAACTACACGTCAGGGACATCGAAGCCGAGCGGACCGCAACGAGGTCTGGCGGTATTGCACTCCCATTCGCGATCACATTCGAGATATCGTACCGACTCGGCACATTCGATCATCAGCCACTCGCATGAGGCAACATGCCGGGCGCCTATGAGTTGGTTTTAACTCCGACACGAGAACGTGGCTATAGAGCTGACATCATGAGGGATTCCGATACAAGCCCACAACAGTCTAAAGACATAACAGTACACAGAACTGTGGAGGTTACTCATGAATAATAGTTTTGCTCCTATGATTATTCTAGATGACGGAACATACGTATAATAGACATTAATGGATTTAATATTGTATGCTTAGGTATGTCCATGCTTAGCGCTTTGGTTCTCAGATTAAATATCTCCATTTGCGGAATAATGAAGTCTTATATGACTTACTAGACTTCACTTCATCACGGCTAGTCATTCTGGCTCTACGAAAAGAAGTGGCACATAGCCTCAACTAGGCATCTTACATCCCGTCGATAAACGGAGGTTTTCTAAACAGCATAGTCCAGATATTGTTCATACATTCCATCACGCGTATAGGGGTAGGTATACAAGTTCATGCCACTGCATCATTCAGAGGCAGCGGGCTTCGCAGCTCCAGAAAAAGGGCAGCCCCCAGTCACCGAGGTCGTGTCGGCAACAGCTTCCGTGTTTTCGCGGGCAATCTGGCGAAACATATCCAAGGGATCATACCAAACGTCAATTTTCTCCAGCTCCAGCTTCTCATTTACTTTGGCGATCACGATACCCTGAATATCAATCAGGCCGCCATGTGCCTTGACCCTAACCTTCTCTCCGCGACTGGGTAGGGCGCATCAGTATCCAGTTGGTGTGAATTGACAAAGAGACTCACTCATTAAATCCCACATAATCATTCGCCATAACACCCCAATGTCTCCACTTGAACACCACTGTCGGTGGTCCGCTGTACACTTCTTTCACCTCCCACGCAAATGTAGGCATCATGCGCTTGAATGCCTTGTGGCTCGTGTCGAAATCATTGTGTGCCGGATCATAGTACGAGCTTGAGGTCAGGAGGGCGTTGTATGTGCCGACCTTAAGCATATGCTCGCCTGATTGTGGTGGGCCTCCGTTTAACGAAAAACTATATGTCTTCTGATCGACGGTCCTCCAGTCGGCGAGGGAGGTCTTGAATGAGGCTTCAATTTCCCAGTTTTTGACGAGTTTTTCGACCAGGTCTGGAAGGCTTCCGGCCTCGTGTGTCATTGTTTTAGCTTAAGCAATCGCGTCAGCGGTATACGTGCTTTGAGAGTGAGGCCGCAAATGACGAACTCTGCTCATAAAATTCTCGGGTCTTTGAATAATTTGGCACCCGGCCATGTCGCCAGGCGGCCTCCGTATCTTTTAGGACTGCATCGGCGTCAAGGACGTAATCGGGAAGTGCTGGTGCGTCACCCATTTTGGTATACGGTTGTGATAACGTCCGGTATGTTTAGCAGGGGCGAGAAAGAATATGCAAGTGGGAAGGAGGATGACCAGCATATTTATTCTCCGAGTCGTGTCAGACGACGGCTATTAGCCAGGTAGCATCGCCCCTGCCGTTGTGGCTAAGATTTCCCCATCCACCATTCACACGCCGTTGATAGTAGGGGCATCCTCGGTAACTAGTGTCGAGCCAGGCAGGGGTCTAAATGGCCGAGAAAGTATAATATCCAATCCCAAGAGTTGTTGTGACCATGCGTTGAATCAGAAAAGTGGGCAGTACGACCTTTCCTGTGAATGGTAGAGGATATAGTTTCCGGTGGAAGCATCCAAAGGATGACGGCTGAGCCAATCTAGCCTTCCTCAAGGTTCGTTATCACTGCCTCTGTTTCCCTCGGTACTAGATCCTGATGGCATCAAATCCCTGGCTCGCACATCACCGAGGATTTTTGAGGGCAGCACGGGCCACCGTTCGGTTATCGGGCTGCAATCAACGCTTCAGCTGCAGGCAATATAAACGGGGCAGATCCCATTGGGTCGAGGGATCGGACCACAGTGGGCCAAGGAGGATCCAGACTCAGGGCAGGAGCAACTTGAATGGAACTGCCGGAACGATGTTTGGAGTCTTGGACGCAGAGAGTAACAACTCACAAGACTTCTTGATATCTTCCTTGTACCTTTAACTCCTTTCCTACTTGGCTACCCGTATCCATTGCTCAATTACGCCGAGTATAACAATAACAGGGGTATATGTTGAAGCCATATCTCACTTCAATTGTGCGTGTGCGCCTGTGAGGATGTGGAGAAGCCTATCAGATCCGGGTCAATTGAATTGTCATCCTGCGATCCTTTGAGGTTTAGCGGGCCGGAATTAATATGCATGGCGGCATGTTCATTGGACTGTCTCGCATCAAATATATGAATCATTGGTAAGCCATTAGTGGGGCTCCAATGCAACCAAGTGAGACAACAAAATTTCTCGGTTCGCCTTCGAAACAAGCACCTGTTTGGGAGCGTGTCATGGACATTTCTTGACCCCAGGGAGATAAATATACTTTGGCATGTCACACATCGCACAATACACAGGATCAACCTGTGTATTGGCCAATAGATGAACGGTCTACGGGTAGTCGCATGGAGTGGGAGTCCCATTCCATGGGTACTGTTAGAACAACGGCTTTTGACCGTTAACCCTAACGAGTAAGTCTGGGCAGCGATGAACTCTAATATAGGAGACATTGATTAAGGATAGTATAAGGATTTGAATGCACCCTCTTGGCTTACTCCGTATTCCCCCTAAATCCGTTTCCGATACTCCAAACTCCATACATCTTTGATCTTATCGTCAGTGACCTCTTTTAGCGCCCCAACCACGCTGTAGGTGGCAAGTTGGCTATTCGTAGAGGGCAAACCACAGAAGCGTGATGCTTTTTACATTATTATATTACTAGCACCAACTCAGGCCATATGCTCGGCTACGGCCAAGTAAAGGGGCAACTCTAATTGCAACCCTTCTAACGCTATCCTATCTAGATATAGTATTCCGGGCATCTGAATCAATTCTCTCGATATTAAAGACCGATTTG